TGCCAGTCCGCGCGCGGGAACCAAAGCATCTGTTCCAATTTGATTCGAGGCACGTAGGATGCTGGGATGTAGGAGCTGCAGTTGTACAGGATTCCGCAGTCGCTGGCGAGGAGCGCGATCACGGGCCTGAGGTACGAAGTTGATGTCCGGTCAAATTTGTCCGATTTCGGGTTGATCGAACACACGAACTCAGAGGTTCCCGCGATTCAGGTCTTTCGGCTCTTCACCTGCTCAAAGTTCCAGGCGCCAACCCTGGTACCCCCTGGCCCACTTTCGAGCCGCTTTTCATGGCGCCATCCCCACCCTAGGAAGTGGCGGCTCCGATTCAAATGGCCATGAAATCTGCAAACCAGCAAGGCAACATGCCCTGAGCTGTGGCATGCAAAGCGAAAGCAAGCCAGGCATGTGGATGTTTAAAAAGATGACACAGCCAGCACGCTGGCATGACCGGCCAGCATCCCTGACATCACCAGCCAGCAGCACAGAAAGTGCAATGGAAGGTGCATCCCCTGCATCATGTGTTTACACACAAAAATCAAATGGGTTCAGTCCAGCGTGATTTCTGAGAAATATCCTTTCTTTTGCTTTCGCGACTCCCCCACCCCCCACCCCCCGCACACTTGACACAACTCCAGCGACAAAGTCGTCTTCCGTCATTCTACAAGCATTCTAAACCTGAAATAAGGAATCCCAAAGAAAAGCTTTCTTCATTCAGGCTCCTTCCCCCGAGGTGAGCTTTTCGTAAACTTGGCAGATGCTCTTGCAATAGTTGAACCTTCTGAGAGAAAAACAATATCAGGACCTCAAAGGGCTCGGGAGTGTCAATGGAAAGAGTGAAAGCCACCGCAACGAAAAAGCGCAGTGGCTTCACAAAATGAGAGAACGAAGGCACAAACCGAAGCACCAAACCAACCACACCAACCAAGCCAAGCAAGTAGGCAAGCAAGCAAGCAAGCAAGCAGGCAGGCAAGCAAGCAAGCAAGCAAAACAAACAAACATGCAAACAAGCAAACACTGACGGGGGACTCTGTACTCTTCAGGATATTTGAAAGCAAAGCAACACTTGAAGCTATCGGTATAGGGTGCCTGGCTTTAACCCAATGCCAATCACTTGGCTAGCATGTAAGCTAGTGGGGCGGGTCGAGAAACATAACCCAAAGGTTCCTCACGCAGTTTTACCCTAGGTTTGGGCCACGACCTGTTCATGCGTTTGATTTTACAACAATCAAAACCTCTTCCTGTAGGTTACCCAAAGGGAATCATGATTTGATTGGCTAAGCCTTTTTGTCCCCCCAACCCTTTGCCAGGGCTAACTGAGAAGGACGCTCGGCTAAGAACTTGTTTGGGCTTTGAACTTTCATAAAAACCACATCCAAAGCGCTTGGTGGACATGAATCCCGGCCTAAATGATGTCCAACAAATAGAAAGCAACCCAATTTCAACTCACCCTTTTGGACTCTCCCACCGCTCGCAAGGCCACTGGCGCGCGCCTGTCATTCTCCGCGGTGGCCAGAGCGGAATCCCCGGCGGCCGGCGCAGCCCAGCTGGCGACCTCACGGCTTCTACCGCCGAGCCGCCGAGAATTCGAGTCGGAGCCTGGCACAGGAACGACTCCCCCCGAAAAAGAACCAGCACAGCCTCGGACGGCCGGGAAGAGACGAAGAGCGTCAGCGGGAGCCAGAACATGCTGGCGGCCAACATGCCTCACACGCGGCCAAACCCTGAACATCATCTTTGCTCCAAAGCTGGGGTCATTCCCTGAAACCCATCTGGGACTTGACCCGTGTCCCCAACTCTAAGCCTTATGTACTTTTTTGATTGTGGTCCACTTGACTCCAGTGGACCACAATCTGATAGTGATTTGAGACAAAATCTGACATGACCTGGTACCCCACGGCTAGAAAAAGCATGGCCAGCAGTGTACTGCCAACTTTCTTACGAGATGTGATCCAGCCGACACAATTCTAGACATAATCACTGAATCTTGCGCAAACGCCAGATTGAGTTAAATAGCCTGTGCTGAGCTGTTGAATGAATAGCCCTGGTGAGTATAGCGACTCCGAACTCTGCTTCTTCCTCCAGGCTTGTGTCTGCCCAATACAATCAAGGTTGCTCTTCCTTAGATTGCTCTGAGGCAATCGACAAGCGCCTGTCTCAAATTTGAGGTCACACAATATGGTTGGTTCCGTTACGCTCCTAAAACCAGAAGGAAAACGTGAATCCCAGCAAAGATCAGATCACATCTCGTAGCGCAAAAGCAGTGGTCAGCACAGCTTTGCTGCAAATGAGAACATGGAAACCCTGAAGCGGATTGCTTCCTTTTGGGCTCCTTAAGTCGAGGGAACCAGGTTTTCTTTCTGGCTTGCCAAATTGCATCAAAAGGCAAAGAGGAGCTACACCCTCAGAGGTGAATGACAGCGAAATCCACCCAATCGCTCCGCGCCGAGCGCCTAGAAGCAAACGCGGCGGGGCTCGGTCTTCGTCCATGGCCACATAGCCTGCAGCTTCATCCACCGCTTCGGACTTGTTCGGAGCTCCGGACAAGCTTGCTGCGGCAAAAACGACTGGTCGGTTAATATCTGTTTGTTCCGTCTTGTAGGGTCCTTCGCTTGTGAACACCCATTCATCTGCCAGCTTTGCGCAATAAATCAACATTACCCGCTGGGCAATCCTTGTTTCAAACATGTCAAGTCAACAAGCTGTTGAAACTCTGAAACAACCTCCTTTGCAACTGTACCCTTTTGCACATACCTCGGCTGAAGCAAAACCTGCACTCAAAGCTGGATTCCCTCGAGCTCCAAGAAAGCGATTTGGATGCCAGGCGATCAGCCACTAAACCTGGGGCCACCCCTTTAGGGCATGACTTTTGGCAGATCGAACCCATTTCCGTGCACGCAGACTTTCCTCCCTCCTCCCTGGACATCATTCCCAAAGGCCCCGCCCGGAAACTATGTAAGCCAGCAGGTATTTTTGAGCTTGCGAATCGTAAAGTTGGTTTACAAGAGAGCCAATGCCATTTTGCACGTCCCGCTGTGGCACATAAACAGCTGTTCATGTTTGAGGTCACTTCCGCCTTTGCAGCTTAACTTGCGCGAGATACAACATGTGTTGCCTCCAGAATCCATACCTGATAGCCCGGCAACGGAGATGCGATGTGGTCACGGACCCGGAAGCATTCATATTTGCAGCTGTTGTTGTAGATCATGTTAAGAGGAGTGAATCAAAACACGGCACTTGCTTGGATTTGTAACCCAAGCAATCATGGATTTCGTCAAGACAAATCAAAGAGACCATCGTGTAGTGGCCTCCCAACACGGCCCTCCCGTCGCCTTCCTTGACCTCCGGCATCCTGGCAAGTGGCGCTTCAGGCGCTTCACGTCGGGGTGGACACCAAATCGGTTGCAGTTGACCAGCTACGGCAAAAGAAAAAAAGTCCACTGCACAATATATTTTTATAGGAGGAAAGATTGGAGTGGAAATTATTTAGGGGCAAGCCTTCCAATCCAGAGAAGAAACAGAGGCTCAAATTCAAGTCCCCCCAAAGAATCAACCAATTGCAGGTCACGGGGTACATCAACCTTTGGGCTCACATTCGTGGACCCTTTTCAGCCGGCCGCTTCCCAAACACGCAAACAACTTGGGTTTTGGGAATCGTTTTGCAGAGGTTTTGGAAATCAACCCAATCCCCAAAGACTGTTTTGTAAGGGGCTGGTTCGCGGTGATTCCCCCAAGTCTACTCCAAAGCTTCTTGGGGTGGGAGGTTCTTGGAAAAGGCAAAGCAAGCTCCGCAGATTTTGGGCGTCTAGTTTGGGGCAGTCCAGCCAACATAGCATAGGCTACTAGGAGTTCTTAGGTCTTGAAAAGGACTCTGGGAGGTGAGCCCTTCTCTGGGCATGTCTTGGAGTCGTTTTCTTCACTTGGGACGACATTCTGGTAGTTGATGTCTTTGCCTTGTAGGTGTGCTCGCTGTATCCCGCCCTTTTTCGTCGTCGGCTACCCATTCTTAGCCTGATTTGGACCAAAAACACAAATCCCACCAGAGAAAACCCATGCGGCTCTCTCTATGCTTTGGCTCCGGCAAAATAGCGTGCGCTGGCTCTACTCAGCGCGTGAGGCTCAATGGCTGCGCAATCCGAAGCCGGACGGCGGCCCGGCCGTTGGTCCGCAAGCCCATGATTCATCTATATAAACCAAAAAAACACTCAGTTCACACAAGCAAGTGTCACTTCAACTTGTGTTTGTATCCCACCTTGTGTGAATGACCCCACTCAAGCAAGCAAGCGCGCGCACATGCACAAACACACACACACACACACACACACACACACACACACACACACACACACACACACACACACACACATGCTCACTCGCTCGCTCGCTCGCTCACTCACTCACACTCACTCACTCACTCGCTCGCTCGCTCACTCGCTCACACAATCACGCTCCTTCCCTCCCTCCCTTCCTCCCCCTCCCTCCCTCCCTCACTCACTCACTCACTCACCCACTCATTCACTCACAAATTCTCACTCTCACTCTCACTCTCACTCTCACTCTCACTCACTTTCTCACTCTCACTCTCACTCACTTTCTCACTCTCTCACTCTCTCACTCACTCACTCACTCTCACTCTCACTCTCACTGTCCCTCTCACTCTCACTCTCACCCTCACTCTTACTCTCACGCTCACAATTACACTCACACTCACACTCACACTGACTCCCTCACTGACTCCCTTACTGACTCCCTTACTGACTCCCTCACTCACTCACTCACTCACTCACTCACTCACTGACTCACTCACTCACTCACTCACTGACTCACTCACTCACACTCACTCACTGACTCACTGACTGACTCACTGACTCACTGACTCACTGACTCACTGACTCACTGACTCACTGACTCACTGACTCACTGACTCACTGACTCACTGACTCACACTCACTCACGCACTCACTCACTCACTCACTCACTCACTCACTCACTCACTCACTCACTCACTCACTCACTCACTCACTCACTCACTCACTCACTCACTCACTCACTCACTCACTCACTCACTCACTCACTCACTCACTCACTCAAACACATTCACGTACACACACAATGGAAAGCCCACACAAGGAGTGTCAGGATACAACAAACCTCAAACGATCAATAGCTTCTCGATTCGTGCTGAGGAGGGCGGAGCAAACAGGAACTTCAGGGAGAACACCTTGGCATCGTTGGACCCACACACGCCTTGGGCTTCCTGCAGGAGGCCACGGAGGGCGGAAACAGTTTGCGCACGAACTGACGCAGGCAGGCACGCACACATGCACGCACTCACTCAGGCGCTCTTGCACGGACGCACGCACGCACGCACAACCTCCTCATGATACGGCCGCAACTCCATGCACTTCTGTTGACCCCGGATGAATCAACCAGGTGCCCCCAAAAAGTGGTCTGGATCCCCCAAATGAGTCATAATCAAAACCCGGTACAAAAGTGGTGCACCCAGCACCATGTAAAGAACTAAGAAGGCGGATATCCGCAGCTACTTATGGCTGGGATCGTCCCTTAACCTTCATCAATCCCCGGGTTTTGGTCCATGTTTCCACTTTCCAGGGTTCCATTTTGGTACATGTTTTTTTTGAGCCACACCCAAATGAAGAAAGTGCCCATCTTCCCAGAGCTCGGCTCTCCTCTCTGCCTCTCTTGGCTTCGGAGGCGGGTTCTGGCAGAGCCTCCTTCTTCGCGAGCTCCTTTGAGAGAGCGGGGACCCGAGCAAAACCGCGGCGGAAACGACCAGACGTTCAGGCTGTGGGTGAAACATGGGTATCCATTTTGAAACCCTAGTAAAACCTGCGGTCCGATTCCTGGTGCTTTTATTTTGACCCATACCCAGGTTAAGAACAAAGGCAGAAGCGGCAGAAGAACCTACCAGGCAAATGACTCGTGACGCTGACATCTCACAACAGAGGATGGGACCTGTGTGCGTGTGTGTGTGTGAGAAAGAGAGAGAGAGAAAGTCGTTGTGTTTGCACGTTTTGCTGTCAAGGTGGGGGCTGAACGGTGCTCAATGGTTGCATGAAGGGCGGGGAGGTCTTATCAAGAGTGAAAGATTCCCTCTAAAATCGGTTGCAACTGGACGGAAAGAGGTCATATCAAATGCTTTAAAACTGCCAAAAAACAAAGCTATGTATTATTGAGCATGCTCAAAGTCTGTTTGTGTGCTGGTTTGCTGTTTCCTTTTGGACCCTGGACTTGTCAGTGCAGCTTGTTTCTTGGGAACCAATCCTTGTGACCACTGCCCTCCAGAAATCTCGACTCCGGTGCAAACCGACACAGGCCCCAGGCCGACTATCATCGAAAACCTCGGCCCGCCCCACCCTTCCGTGTGATTGTCCTGGTAATGAGAGCTGCGCCCGCAACAGATTTAACGTTGGCCCTGCCTGGCTACAAATGCTTGTAAGAGGCCTCACTTTTCTCCCTTCTAAACCCGAGAGTAGAGCCTTCTACTGTCTAGCCAGTCGTTTGCACCCTCACAGCGCTCCCTAGGCACATCATGGCTTTAGCCCTTGAAGAAAAGTCTCAAAATCATCTGCTGCCATAAGATACCAGGCAAAGACACCCAAATAGTCCAGCCCAAAACCCTGCGTTGGGTGGGGACCATACCCAGTCGGCAAGTTCTATCCGCCTCTGGTTCACCAGGGATTGCTTGTCCATACTCTCAGGGGCAAGGCAACGATCATCTGTTGCCGGTCCGCTTTGCTTCTTGCTGTTCAAAAATCAACTCCCTATGCGAGCAAACCTTCTTTCCCTAAGTACTTGCCATGTTTCGGCAATCCACCCTACCTGGATCTGAAAGATTTTGGACCTGCAACTGCCTGACCCAGACATTCATTCACCTTTCTTGCGAGGCGAAACATGGTTGTGCGAAAGAGCTACATACTCCATCACTTGGCGCCTTGATTGCCCCAAAACATAATCTTCAAAATAAACTGCCACCCAACGCGGCTCCCAACCCAAACGAAACCACCCACCCCGCCGCCGACAAGCGCATCGCTTCCGAAACGAAGCTCCGGTCCTTCAGCTGCTTCACCTCCTGGCGGAAGCGCCGCTCCTGCTGCAGCGGCGCCAGGAGGTCCTGGACCGAGCGTCCGACCAAAGGCGATGGAGTCCAGTTGGGCCAGTTTGCGCGCGAGTGCGAGGGGTAGCCTTCAAAGTCCCTTCAAGCGGAAGTGGTGCTGAAAAGAACGCGGAGCCCAAGATGCTTTGAAGGTCGCCACAAGTTCCCAAGCTTTCGACGCGCCGACGCTACAGTTGTTGCAGTTCCTTTCAATCAAATCACAAGGGAAGTCGCTCAACTTGGCCTTTGCCACTCGCAAAACGCAGGCGAAAAGCAGCAGCGCCGGGATTCGCCACGCCTCCAGAGTCACTCCGCCCACCGGCGGCAGCTGGTACTCGTTCTCAGCCTCGGCCTGGCCAAAGGGCCAAAGCATCAGGCCCCAAACC